ATATTATTATTTTTATTTATTAATAATTTATTTTAAAAATATTAATCTCATATATAATCATGATAAATAAAATCAAATTATTGTATAAAATAAAAATTCATATTTATTATTTATAATATAATTTTTTTGAGAGGATTTATAATATAATTTATTATTTATAAAATTAATTATTTTACTGCAGGTAAATGTATATAAATTATGAATACTTTTGCGACTCATCGCACCACTTAAACAATAGAACACCGATATTGTCTGAAATGAACTCAATTTGTTTCAATTAAAAACAGAAACGTGCCAGCTCTACCCTTCTAATTTGTCATCTTCTGAAACCAGGATCTTTGTGAAGCATGCAATCTCTTTCGCAAAGAACAGCAATATAAACAAAATTCCTAAATAAAGATGAAGACAAATAGTTGCTCAGTAAAATAACTATATTCCATGCTTTTAATTAAGTTCAAAACATTATCTACAGGTTCACAGTGCTGTAAATATTCTAACAATTTGTCATGATGTTTTTTTTTGGTAAATAATATTGTGAGGCTCCATGGTGTTAAGAGTAGCACAGGTGTAATCATAAAATGAATTATGAGGCAACCAGGTTGGCTATGAAAGCATTGGAAATTGATTATCAATATTCTAAGTGAATAGTCATTTTTGTCAATTCTTAAGCTTCTCATTTACTTATTTTAGGTACCCTGCATGTGCCTAAACCGTAGCAGTAGTAGAATTTAAAAGAAGATACAAAGTATGCTACGCGTTGTTGAATTCAAATGAAATCCTTGATAAAGCAGAATGTGCTAGCTACGGTCAAACTGCATGTTCTTCTCTCTTACCAAAACCAGATTCCTTTCTCTTCATGCACTCCAAAACCAAAACCTTCTCGCCAGATGGGGAATATTTTTCTCCCACTACTTTTAACGCCTAATTAATTCAACCACTTTTGTTCTCATTCTCTTCAAATAATAAAAAAACCATTCACCATTTTCAAAAAAATAAAAATAAAAATTACACCCTTTTTGAAACTCATTTTCTTTCTATGTTACAGAGAGAGAAAGAGAGTACCTGCACTACAGCTTGTGCACATCTACTGAGGCACCACATTATGCTATCCATCCAAAGGAAAGTGAATCCCAAGGACAAAAAAACTAGAACATAGCAACCCAAATCTCTTTCTCTCCCGATTCAGCAAAAAAGCAGCAACCTTCAACCACAACCCTTGATTTCTTCTTTTTTAATCTGACCCTCTCTGAATCTGATAGCACCACACACACACACCCTTCAAGGTTTCTCCTTTTTTCCTTTCCCCTCCAAAATTGCCATGATTTGATCCCTCTCAGCTCTCAACACCAAATGGGTAGTTTAAAGTCCCTATTCCTTCTTTTGTTACTGATTTTGCTCTCAAATCTTGAGCCACCCCAGCTTGCTGAATCTGCCTCTGATTACACCACCTTGGTCTACAAGGGTTGCTCCAAGGAAACATTCACAGATCCAAATGGGGTCTATTCTCAAGCCCTTTCAGCCCTATTTGGCTCATTGGTCTCACAATCCACCAAAGGCAAGTTTTTTAAGGCCACCACTGGGAGTGGCCAAACCACCATGACTGGGCTCTTCCAATGCAGAGGGGACCTCTCAAACTCTGATTGCTACAACTGTGTGAGCAGGCTCCCAGTGTTGTCTGACAAACTGTGTGGCAAGACCATAGCTGCAAGGGTGCAGCTCCTAGGTTGTTACATGCTGTATGAGGTTGCTGGGTTTTCACAACAAATCTCAGGGATGCAGATTCTGTACAAGACTTGTGGGGCAACCAATGCTGCTGGAAGAGGGTTTGAGGAGAGGAGGGACACTGCTTTCTCTGTGATGGAAAATGGGGTGGTTAGTGGACATGGCTTCTATGCCACCAGCTACCAGGCTTTGTATGTGATGGGGCAGTGTGAGGGAGATGTTGGTGATTCTGATTGTGGGGAGTGTGTCAAAAGTGCTGTACAAAGAGCTCAGGTTGAATGTGGGAGCTCTATTTCAGGCCAGGTCTATTTGCACAAGTGCTTCATTAGTTATAGTTATTACCCTAATGGGGTTCCAGGGAGACACTCTTCATCTGCAGCATCATCGTCCTCTTCTTCCTACTCCTCATCTTCTTCTGGTAATAACTAATACCTTGGCACTCACAACCATAAGTTTTTATTTTTATTTTTTTTTATAAAATTCATAGGAATTACAATAATGACAAGAAGATTCGAATCTATTACCTTGTGAACCACTAGGATGACTCTAGTGGTTCTTGGTAACAATGAATGGCATGAATTTTGAAAGAAGGGGCAGTGTTGATTTTTACAGTCTTGTTAAATTTGTGTGTTTGTTTGTCCTTGTTCGTTTCACATGCACATAGATAAATTTTGTGATGCCATTTCCTAATTGTCGCCAACTTCGAGGGAACGGTGCATGTGCAACTTTGCTTGCTCATGTGGATAATCATGTTTTGATTATAAAGTAATGTGTGGCACATTGATGCAATGACAGGGCAAAATACAGGGAAGACAGTGGCTATAATATTAGGAGGGTTAGCTGGGGTGGCGTTTTTGGTTATATGCTTGATGTTTGCTAGGAGTTTGAAGAAGAAATATGATGGTAGGTGTTAATGTTTGGTTTTTAATATTATTACTCAGTTTGCACTTTTATTTGTATGTTTTGATTCTGTCATTTTATAATATCATTTTGTTGCACAGATTATTGACAGTAGAAGATGGTTGAGTGAGGAGGCATATTCTTGATGCGGTGGATTGTTTCAATATATATAGCTTTTGGATGAAAGAGATGGAAAATTTCTGGTAATTAGACTTTAGAAGATAGGGA